TAGAACTGCGCCCCCTCGTTGTTGAACCGCTTGCCGTTTCGGATGGCTGAGAACAGCTCACCACCATTCACATACTCCATGAGCATGTATAGATTAGCATCATCCTGGAAAACAGTCAGCAGATTGACTATGAACGGATGGTCGACCTGGCCGAGAAGCTGCTTTTCCTGCAGCACGTGGTCCACCTGCTCTTTCTTCAGGACAGCGCGCTTGCTCATGACCTTGAGCGCGAACGGCGTCTCACCGCTGCTATTGGCGAGCCTGACGAGACGAACCGAACCGATGAAGCCAACGCCCAGAGTCAAGATCAGCTCGAAGTCGCTGAGCCTCGAACTCCTCGATGCCGCCTCCTGATCCTTGGAACGAATGTCGACAACAGAACAAGAAAAATGTATGAACAATGCACGTTCGAAGGTCCGCGCGGGTTGCTTTGATCGGACCTGGGCAAGCTTCCCCGGCATGCGGAAAGAGCCAGGGGCGGCGCCAGAGGCGCCGCCAGTGCGGGCCCTAACGCAGATCCAAGATATCCTCGCGGACCTCCGAAAGTCATGTTCATGCAATGTTTCTCCTTCGGGATAGACAGCGGACTCTTGCATTTGGAAACTTCGGCATCGCTGAGGTCGCTTCTGCGTAGGCCAGGGCCTTCTGGACTTGTGCTGGTGCTGGCCCACGAACGGTGCTTGCCGCCGTCATCGTCAAGCTCGAGACGGCTTTTGTTGCTTCGTCCTCTCCCTCCTCCTCCTCCTGCTTCGCCTCCTCCTCCTCCTCCCTCCTCCGTCTCCTCCTCATCCTCCTCATCCTCCTTCTCCTCCTCCTCCTCCTCCTCTACCTCATCGTCATCCTCCTCTTCGTGTGTTTACCTCGACTCTGATCTGAAAGATCGAGACGTCTCCACGCACGGAGATCAGAAAAAAGAGAGCGTGCATAATGATCAACGACTGTGACGGGCAAGCACCGCAGAGCAGAAAGAAAATAAGAAGGCAAAGAGGATGCGGATAAAGAAGACGACAAAGAGGATGCAACTGCAGGCCTGAAGGCAGGGAGTTCCCACCACCACCAACAACACCTCCCTCCGCTGCATGACCCTCTAATGCGTGACAGGTGTAGCCCTCGCCGAGGGTCTGCAATCTGCAGAGCCTAGGTTAAGATACTATGGGCGCAAGCTGGCCAATGATACCATGCCCTGTCAAAACTAGAGGACTGTCGAATTAAACTTCAGATATTGTTGGCCTAAACCTGGCGAATTGGCACGAAGATGCAAACACCCAGACGGTGACGGCAAGCTGTAGTAATGCAATACAATGCCGTAGTGATGGGATGATCCGCTCTCCGAGAGTTGTGAATGCAGGGAGCCAACGTCTCGAACACGGCCTGCTGACAGGTGGCGCATGCACTGAAAACTGGCGACGGCCTCTGCCAAGCAAGATGCGCTGCCTGTGTTACTGCCCTAACTCCACCCTGCTTCTGCTGCACGCCTACCTGAATGTGGGAGACCTGCGTACCTTCGACACATGACTAAAGACATGGCGACCAAAACCCGAGAGTTTGCGTCGTAAGCTCGGGGGGCTGGCAGTCTGAACTTGGGAGGGTGGCGGTCTGACCTTCCTTCTGCAGCAGCTCCTCCTCCGTCGATCCCTCCCCCTCCTCACTGCAACGGGCACCTGCCCCGTGCACGGCAGTCAGCACGTTCTAGCCGCAAGCGTCGCGGCCACGAGCACGGCAGAGGAGGTTAGCTCAGGTTCTCCTCCTCCTCCTCTTCCTCCTCCTCCTCCTCTTCTTCCTCCTCCTCCTCCTCCTCCTCCTCCCTCCTCCCTCCTCCTCCTCCTCCTCCTCTCCTCCTCCTCCTCCTCATCCTCCTCCTCCTCCTCATCCTCCTCCCTCCTCCTCATCCCCTCCTCCTCCTCCTCCTCCTCCTGCTGCTCCTCCTCCTCCTCCTCCTCCTCCTCCTCCTCCTCATCCTCCTCTCCCCTCTCTTCTCCTTCCCTCTCCTCCTCTTCCTCCTCCTCTCCTCCTCCTCCTCCTCCTCCTCCTCCTCCTCCTCCTCCTCCTCCTCCTCCTCCTCCTCCTCCTCCTCCTCCTCCTCCTCCTCCTCCGCCTCCTCCTCCTCCTCCTCCTCCTCCTCCTCCTCCTCCTCCTCCTCTTTCTCGTGCTCCTCCTTTCTACCCACCACCTCCACCGAAGGGTCGTAGCTTGAAAGCGCTCTTGGAGCCACAGGAGGGACGACGAGGTGAAAGAGGGCGCGAGGCCAGGACGTCGGGGCCGCACGACGAGCAGAAAGAGGATAGGAAGGCGATTTGCATGTAAGGACAAAGAAAGCGCACGACGAGGTGAAAGAGGGCGCGAGGCCAGGACGTCGGAGCGGCACGACGAGCAGAAAGAGGATAGGAAGGCGATTTGCATGCAAGGAAAAGAAAGCGCAAATGCTCTGTCGCTGTCCCAAATGTATCGCGGCGTGCTTGCGGAGAGTTTCGTGGAGAGTGTCTGTGTCGTACAGAGCGCCGCTCCGCAAGAACGAAGCAGTACCCTCAATGATAATGTCTCTACATATGTACTTCCAACCCTCTGCAACGGCTGAGGAGGTTCACACTAGAGCCCCTTGAAGGGGTCCCTGTGTTCAACGGTGCCGACATGGCATTCGCAGACGAGACTGCTGCATGGTTGACATCCAAACTGATCTGCGTGCCACTACACGTGCCAGAACACCATTCCTGGCACTTCAATCATACGAATCCACATAAGTGCTGCAAACGTTTAAACGAATGCGCACGGCGCTAAAGCGAGAGCCACATGTTTAAAAGGAAACACTCAGGCGACAGCCACATGTTGAAAAGGATCCGCCCTCCATCCTTGAGACTGCTGCCAACCTTTAAAGCAAATGTGCGCGGCGCGAAAGCGCGAGCCACATGTTGAAAAGGAACCACTCAGGCGACAGCCACATGTTGAAAAGGATCCGCCCTCCATCCTTGGGAAGGCTGCCAGCCTTTAAAGCCAATGTGCGCGGCGCGAGAGCGCGAGCAACATGTTGAAAAGGACCCACCCTGAATCCCTAAAACTGCTGCAAGCTTTTTGTAAACAGAATGCGCGCGACGCTACAGCGAGAGCCACATGTTGAACACGGCCCGCCCTCCATCAGTGAAGCTGTTACAAACTCTTATGACGAACACGCGCGGCGCTAAGGCGAGAGCCATGTTTTGAAAACGACCTGCCCTCCATCTGTGAAACTGCTGCAAGTTCCAGGCTCCAGGATCAGAAATGCCAAGGGAAGTGTCAGGCGAAACAGCCGGCCCGACCTACCGGCACGTCTGGGGAGGACCACAGGGAGGAGCTGCTTCTCGAAACCACTTGCCCTGGCCAACACAAGAGCCAGCCCAACCAGCCCGACCTGCCCGCCCGCAAACCCGCCAAGCACCCCAACCAGCCGAGCCCGCCACCACGCCAACCCGACACTGCGGGCAAGTGCTTCTCATCCAGAGAAGCAAGCTGTGAACCGCCTTCCAAGGACTAGGCTGGCAGCCGAGGAGAGTCAAATCGTAGGTCGGGCATGTCCTCGTACAGGCAGACTTTGGACGCAAAATACAAACATGTGAATACTCATATATGAAACACATGTAATATATAACATACCATAACAAAGCAATACAAAACACAACAAAACAAAACAAAACAAAACAACACACACAAAATGCTTGTGAGTAGTAACATATACTCCAAAAGAATCAGACAATACTCGAACGTAGTCCTCCTGTAGAGGCACACGCCTGACTTAGGTCGAGTCGCACCGCACCGTGGAGGACCGGCCTCCTGAGCGGCGCCCCGAGCACTGCGAGAGGCCCCGCGGGCGGTGCTGCCGTCCCGTTCCTGCTCCTCCCGGCACCCACGCCCTCGACGGAACAGCTCCCACCCTCGCAGCTGCCATCCCTTCTTGAAGGGGCCCTGGGACACACAAATAGAAGTACACACGAATGACAGGGTTCCCCATATTGCCCCAGATTTTTCTGGGTTTCTGTCTTCCCCCCCACTTCCCATATTTTCCCATATTTCCCTGGGAGTGAGCGATTCATTGTGTCTGTGTGTTCTTCCCCCTCCTCAGCCATCCCTCCTCCAGCACCCGGGTCCACGCAGAGGTCGCCCAGAGGCCCCCGGCCGCCGCAGAAGGCCACTGCCCCGGCCAGCACGCCAGCCAGCCCACCCGGCCCGCCCGCAGACTCGCCGAGCGGCCCAACCAGGCCAACCCGCCACGGTCAGAGTTCTCAGGGATGCTTCTTCGGGTCTCTGCGGAGCGCTCTCGGGGTCCTCTTGGGGGCAGTTTGGGGGCCTCGTGGGAGCCTCTTAGGACCCCTTGGAGGCCTCTTGGGAGCCTTCTGAGGGCCCCTCGGGGCCGACCTACCCCCGCCGCCCGCCCTCCGCCACAACCGGCGCCCGGCGGAGCAGGGGCGCGGGGAGCGGAGCAGGGAGCGGAGCCGGGTGCCGAGGGGAACTCGCGAGCCGTGGCGCCCGGAGGCGCTCGGAGGCCGCGTGCCCAGGTCCGTGCACGACTGGACGCGTGCGAGGAGCCAGAACGGCGACGGCCGAGGAAGAAAGGAGGAAGAGCAGGGGAGGAGGAGGAGGAGGAGGAGAAGGAGGAGGAGGAGGAGGAGGAGGAGGAGGAGGAGGAGGAGGAGGAAGAGAAGGAGGAGGAGGAGAAAGGAGCAGGAAGAGGTGGAGTGGAGGGAGGAGGAGGAGGGGAGGCGGAAGGAGGAGAGGAGGAGGAGGAGGAGGAGGAGGAGGCGGAGGAGGAGAGGAGGAGGAGGAGAAGGAGCAGCAGGAGAGTGGAGTGGAGAGAGGGGGTGGAGGAGGGGAGGAGGAGGAGGAGGAGGAGGAGGAGGAGGAGGAGGAGGAGGCGGAGGGAGGAGGAGGAGGAGGAGGAGGAGGAGGAGGAGGAGGATAAGGAGGAGGAGGCCAAGGAGCAGGATGAAGGGATCTGGAGCGGGAGCAGGGGGCATGCGGAAGAATAGGACGAG